GTGGCATTTTATCATCATGGTGACCTGTTCTAAACCCAATTCCTCTCATAAAATTACTACCCCTGTAGTTACTTTTATTTTTTGGATTGAAATTAACTTTTATATCAATCTAATATACATAAATTCTCGTGTCGCGGTGTTTGTGGTTAAACTCCTCCGAAACGGCTTTTCCGATTCTCATGAAATTTTGTGTGCATATTGGGTAGGTCTGAAAATCGGACAACATCTATTTTTCATCACCCTAAATATTGAGGGTAATCCACCCCTAATTTTTTTTTCAATTTTAGATATTTTTTTTATTTTTTTTATGATACATCATTCAAAAATACATACAACTCTAAATTTTCACCCTTCTACCACCAACCCCTATTTTTTTATGGCGGTACGAAGTTCGCTGGGTCAGCTAGTAATATATAATATAGCCGATCAACAAAAACCACTATTGTTTGTTTACCTTCTTTCTTATACATGTAACAAGCACACAACTTTTGTCCTGGAAAAAGTTATCATTTCCATGGACAGTAAGTTTTTGTGAAATAGGTTCGATTACATTGTGTTGTTGTATCCCGCTTGTCAGTGCTCCCTTCGAGCCAGGCTGCCTAAGATGGATCACACGCACACGCAACAACGTCATTGTGGATTCCCGCCAAATAGTAAGCATACCATTTCAGTGATATGGGGACAATTGATTCGGTGGACTGTAATGCCGATAAGAGTCCAGGGAATGAAAGTATCGCCGAAATGATACATCCATAAGTTTTTAGAGATCCTTGAGTCAATATAGGTATAGGTTCGGTTTGTGATGTACGTTTACCGAGAAACTGTAGGTTCGATATTTCGGATGCAGTAGTATCTCAACCTAAAATTTCTAGTTTAAAAATGTATATTAAAGTTAAAGCGGATGAAGTCATTGGCGGCCGATAGTATTTCTATATAAAAAACTTGACTTGACTCGCTTGCACATGATGAGTCATCAAAAATGGTTTCTGAAGGCAAACGATCAGATTGGCTTATTTCTGTAGCCAAAGTTCTGCATAATCCATGGTACTCCTTAGATATGACACTTTGTAGCAAAAATCAAAAAATTTTCTTTGCTATAGATTTTTTTTTATAAATAGGCTCAAGAAATGACTCCACCAGAGGTTAGGTGACGGAGGAGTCTAGACGCGAAGATAGCTGGTACAGCAGTATTACTTGCCACACCAGCTATCCTCATTTTGCCGGCCTGCAGAATTGCTACTTCACACACGTAAGAGGGCAAAGTAATCCATTTGCGGATAGTCTGACAAAGAAATGAGTTACCAAATTTCTTTGTTCACGTTGGAACAGTGGGAATAGTAGTTCACAGTAAGTCGGTGGCAACGTAAGCCAGCGCGTGTATACTTCTGTAGGAAAGGGGAAGGTAGGTTAAGAGACAATAACTCCTCAAAACATGCGCCAAGGTATAGTCGATAAAACGCGCTTAATAAGGCTACATCACGGCGTAATTGACGAGGCTCGAGGTGTTTAGTCACCTCCTTATCGACAATAATGCGGGTCGCACGCCGCTGTAACCTATCCAAAGCATCAAAAAAGTACTTGGCGGAGCCATCCTCTGGGGTGCGAACAATATTCCACGCAAGACCGTACTTACGTCATGTACAAGAAGCACAGTTGCTCAGACGTGAAAAAACATTAGTTTTACCGTGAAAGCGCAGACCTGGGCTTTCTTGTCAATGAACCCAACCAAGTTCTTGGTACCGCATTCCGAAATGCGGTCCAAATCTTTATTGAGTTCAATGACAAGATTCTCCCGTTTCTCTTTGGTTTCTACCTGTCCAACGGATGCGTATCCAAAATATCCCGCATGCACTGAATTATCGTCTGCATAGCAATGAATATTCTAAAGAGGAATTAAGTCATTGAATGCAGCAAAAAGAGTGTAGGGGATAGAACGGAGTCCTGAGAAACACCGGCATTCACTGACATGAACTGCGAACTACATCCGTCGCCGTCCGTTGACGCTCATGCAGGAAGTCAGCCACTCAGGCACAGAACTGAGTAGGCAGACCGTATCCAGGAAGCTTGGAAGAAGACTTATATGCCAGACCCTATCAAAGCCTTGGCGATCTTAAGGCTGATAGCCAAAGACTCACCTCGCTTATCGATAGCCTCACCCCAGATATATGTCACGTACGCTAGAAGGTCACCTGTCGATCGATTCGATCTATCTTCTTTTACTTGCCTCAAATATAACGCAAACATATTACATATATTTTTTTTGCAAAAAGCGACAGATTTGTTAGTTTTTACTTCATCTAGTACAATTAAAATATTTGGTAAAATTCAAACAGTCAAGTCAAAGCCAATTACAGGATACTCACAGGATATTTTAAGTGTCTTCATGAAAAATGAGTTTAAATCCGAAACTTGGTTTCAACAATTAATACGTTTACAAATTTAAGTGTTTTGAATGGGTTTATTAGGTTTTAAATCAAGAATTTTGGAAATAATTTGCAGTTATTTTGTTTATTCATTAGCTTTTTCAGGAAGTATGCGTCGTAGAGCATAATGGGTTTTACCTGTAGATGCGGCTTAATGAGGCGGGTCGATTGGTATTATAAAAGTTCAGTAGCGGAAAAGTGCAGATAATCGGTTTTGGCACTAAGGGGACGATTTACTAATAATAAACTTCTCGCTTTCTAAACGCGCTTTGTTCGTTATTTTGAAAATGTACATATTAATAATTATAATTAGTAATAATATTTAATAGGAGTAACAATTAATTAATTCTTCATTAATAATTCTTATTAAAAAATAATGAACAAAAATATTTACAAAGAATAAAGACATTTATTTAAATTCAAAATAGGGAACCCTTCTACTACAAAGACGATGTTCTTGGCGGTATCATTTCGGTGGTAATTTTTTACCATTTCGGTAGACAATTTTCATTTCAGTGGACTGCCGAAAACTCATCCTTAAATATTTCAGTAATTGGTGACTGTTGAATTTGCCCCGTAGGATCGTTTAAAAATCGAAAAAAAACCATAAACAATATTTTTTATTTTTTTATTTTGCACCTTTAATTGCATTTTGTGTAAAAACTATGGGAGATACGCGAAAATAAGTTGATACCTTTTTTGTAGGAAATTAAATTTCCTACAACTTTGTGCAAGAAACTTTTTCTATTTTTCCAGCCAGTCGCGAGATATTGACGAAAAACTCGTTTTTGCACCATTCCGCATTTTTTTTTCACCCTTTGCCGTCAATGCAGCACCCTGCAATTTTAGTATATTAATCTACGAACCCTTGCGGGAATTTTCGCGTTGGTTGCAGGTGATCAACTCAAAATGGCAAAGTTAAGCCTTCGTTGACTGGACTATTGATGTGAGTGTTAGAAATATATTAGGTCCTTACATTAAAAATTGGCGTTTTGTGCGGTAGGAGTATATACTCATTTTTTTTTGTAAAATATATTTAATTAATCAAAGTATGCACCGTTGTTATTTTCACCGTGTTGCACTTTTGCCATCTCATAGGTAGTTCATTTGTCGCCTTTTGTCGACACTTGTGGCTCCATCTATTGCACAAGAAGGAAAAGGGTGAAAGAAGCCGCGAAGAAGACCTGCGCATTCGAATTTACCATGGTGCACAATAAGAATACAAATTTTCTATATCATTCAATTTATTGTAATTTATACGTAATAAAACGTCTTATCAAGTAAACGAGTACCTCATTAGATAGGTGACCTGACTTTCCTACACACCTTTACTAAAAAAAACATGAGGGCGAGAATCAATAAACTCTTTGGAGACGGTTTGGACTACCGCATCGGAGTTGAATTTATTTCCTCGTAAAAGTTGTCCAAATTCCGGAAAAAATGGTAATCTGTTGGAGCAAGGTCCGGGTAGTACGGTGTATGCCCCAGATATTCCAATTATAACTCATCTAACTTAGTGTTTGTTGTAGTGGGTGGTCTTGCGTTGTCGTGAAGCAGCAGTGGCCTAGAGCGATTGACCAATCTCAGTTGTTTAGCAGCTAGTTCTTCCTTCATGGTTTGCAGTTGCTGAAAATAGATATTTGCCGTAATCGTTTGGCCAGATTTTAGAAAGCTGTAGTGAACGACACCAGCGCTAGTCCACCAAACACTCACAAGTAACTTTTTCTGAGTCAATTTTCGTTTAGGGCTAGGGATTTGGCTGGGTCTCCAGGGTTCAGGATTAGCGACGAGCGCTTCCGTTTATCGTACAGTATCCACTTTTCATCACAAGTAATGATTCGATTTAAAATCCCCTCATTATTGTGTCGGTTGAGCAAAGTAACACAGCAGTCGACGCGCGTTTGCAAGTTCGATTTACTCAATTCATGAGGTATTTTATATTCATCGTTCAAGTTTTTTTACTTTCCCAATTTGCTTCAAGTGGATTAATACAGTTTTGTCACTTACCCCAAAGCCTGCAGCTATCTCTGAAGTGCTTTGTATTGGATCCGCTTCCACAATAGCCTTTAATTCTTCATTTTCCACCTTGGTCACCGGCCAAACCGTAGTTTGGTTCTGAAGGTCAAAATTTCTAGAACGAAAACGTTGAAACCAAAAACGCACCGTGCGTAATAACTGTAAACTAAATAATTATGTATTTCATGTTTTCCATTGTGAGGTAATAAGCGACACCAAAGAAAAACTAGACATAATACACATATTTGCTGCTGTCCGGTATCGCAACGGTGACACGGAAAAATGAAATAAGCTTTCCTTAACGGAAGAGATTTGCTCTCCTTTTTGGCATATTTTGGAAGGCGAAGTACACATAGTCTTGCGACAATTATTTCGTTATATGTCTTTGGTTGTCCCCATCTTTTATTCGGTTAGAAGGCGCATGATGTATGATTTTAACGGTCAACAGCAGAGGCGTATTAACCCTAGGGTCAAAAGGGCCATGGCGAGGGCGAAAGGCCCAATTGTATTAACTTTTTATAAACAAGCGACTTATCTTAATACACTCATGCTGGTCAACAGGTGGTTGTGAAGGAGATGAACCGACTCGGGATGCTGGTGGACCTGTCGCACGTGTCGGAGCGCACGATGCGCGACGCGCTGGCAGTGTCGCGAGCGCCTGTGCTGTTCTCGCACTCGTCAGCGCGCGCACTGTGCAACGTGACGCGAAACGTGCCCGACACTGTGCTGCGACTGCTGGCCGCTAACAAAGGCCTCATCATGGTCAACTTTTACACGTCTTTTCTGACTTGCAGGGACACCGCTACCGTCAAAGACGCTATAGGTTAGTGACACAATGATATAAAATTTTGTCTCGTACGCCCGTACTGTTCTCGCACTCATCTGCGCACGCGCTATGCAACGTGACGCGAAACGTGCCCGACACTGTGCTGCGACTGCTGGCCGCCAACAAAGGCCTCATCATGGTCAACTTTTACACGTCTTTTCTGACTTGCAGGGACACCGCTACCGTCAAAGACGCTATAGGTTAGTGACACAATGATATAAAATTTTGTCTCGTACGCCCGTACTGTTCTCGCACTCATCTGCGCACGCGCTATGCAACGTGACGCGAAACGTGCCCGAGACTGTGCTGCGACTGCTGGCCGCCAACAAAGGCCTCATCATGGTCAACTTTTACACGTCTTTTCTGACTTGCAGGGACACCGCTACCGTCAAAGACGCTATAGGTTAGTGACACAATGATATTAAATTTTGTCTCGTACGCCCGTACTGTTCTCGCACTCATCCGCGCACGCGCAATGCAACGTGACGCGAACGTGCCCGACACTGTGCTGCGACTGCTGGCCACTAACGAAGGCCTCCTCATGGTCAACTTTTACACGTCTTTTCTGACTTACAGGGACACCGCTACCGTCAAAGACAATATAGGTTAGTGGCACAATGATATAATTTTTTGTCTCGTACGCCCGTACTGTTCTCGCACTCATCTGCGCACGTACTTTGCAACGTGACGCGCAGCGAGCCCGACACCGTGCTGCGACTACTCGCCGCGAACAAGGACCTCATCATGGTCAACTTCTAAATGTCCTTTCTGACTTGCAGGGACACCGCTACTGTCAAATGACCGTCAAATTATCCAAGATTTTTTGTGGAATTTTTATGTGTGGTAAAAAGGGGGAAAACTTTAATTATTATGTTGTATATGTTGTCATTGTTGATTTCGTACAGAGATATGTCCAAGAGTCAGTAAATTACTCCACTTCTACCCATTAAAATTATAAATAAATTTCATCAGCGAAAATAGCTATAACAGATATATAGTACTTAAACACTTTGTAAATCTTCATTCGTGTTTTCTTTGTTTGACATTAAAGACATAGTTTTATGTTGTTCCATCGAATACCCACTACTTTTCTCACAGTACCTACCTACCACCTGTCTAATAATTACATAGTTGTTTGTAAATTGTATTGTATTGTCGTCTTATTACCTACAGCGCATATTAATCACATCCGTGACGTAGCTGGCGTAGACAGCGTGGGCCTGGGAGCAGGCTATGATGGAATAAATTAGTAAGTATACTTACTTACATACTTGAAAATTTGATGATAATTTTTCAAAAACGTACAGTACTTAAGTGAAATTTGGCTTGCATACTTACTCCTGATGTTCGCACCCTCGGTTATAAAATGATGCCTATCATTTCTAACATCAAAGTCCGCAGTAGCAATATCATGATATTGCTACTGATGTTTCTTTACCTGTGTCATACTGAAGCCTTCTTAATTTTATATCATATATATCCCAAATTTACTTTTATTTTCAGTCATCATATTACAAAAAAGAAGATTAATGATACTAGTCTTGCTTACCTCTTGTTTTTCTATGTTACAGCACCCCGCAAGGTTTAGAAGACGTATCGTCATACCCCTTACTGTTTGCGGAGCTCATGGAGGAGGGATGGAGTATAGAGGAACTGCGCAAACTTGCCGGATTGAATCTGCTGAGGGTCCTGGGTGCGGCGGAGCGTGTCGCACGCGAGCTGTCGTCCGCACACGTGCTGCCCTTCGAAGATATCCCGCCACGCCCGCTTGACACGCACAACTGCTCCAGTCAAGACTTCTAGGCCGATCCCTTCTTTTCAGAAATAAAACCAAAAAAATGGGTACTTTGGCATAATTGGGCTGACCTTAAAAATAAGCCCTCTTTAACCTCACAGGGGTGAAATATTAAAAGACGTAAGGTGGGTGAACCATGGAAGGCCACTCTAACGAATAAACAGTTTTTGTTAGTTCATTTACTGGATAAATGAAAGAAACAAATCAATAACTTTGTTTTATTGTGTAACATATAAATTCCTTTTTTTTTTGTTCTAAATGTAATCACTATTTATTAAACTTAACTTTTATTAAGCTCTTTTAAACGGTAAGGCCGTTTTTCTAGGAACAGGTCTCCATTCAACGCCAATATTATAATCAGATATTTCGATAGTTACTGTCGAAATATCCGCTTTTACTAAAACTACATAAAAAAAACATTTTAACGAAACATTAAATGCTTAAAAGATTATATAATCTTCTTTAAAAAACTCAACGAATATTCCTTGAACACTATCGAATAACTAAGAATATATTGATAAAAATTATTTAAAAAATATAGTTATGAATATAAATTCAATAATAAATAAGTTGCCAATGCTTTTTGGAATGAATTTGTATATAACAAAATTGGCCTTCAATGGCCTTTTTATGGGTCCGTTCTTTGTAAGTCCAAAATGTTTCTCAGAAGGTTAAGTTGAATAACCCTTATAAATAATATTACAAACATAAAACTTTTCCGGTACGTATTTATAACTATAAACTAAGTATTCATATTTACAGGATTTATAAATATTCTTAATAATAGTATATGGAAGGTCCATATACCCTAACAAGGCCGACCGTAAAATTTTTGGTTGGCCTTATAAGGAACTTCTGATATTTTAACTTGAAATCAAAACAAAATTATTATTATTTTCTTTGGTACCATAACAAATGTTTATATGACAATTTACCGTGGGAAATAAGGCAATAATAAGTTATTTACATAACAAATTTACCTTTAGCTGTGCGCGCGAATTACAATTTTGCCGTCGACGACCGAAGTCGACGAAGCGAGGGACTGCAATCAAAAAATTGCGACGAGAGCGACTCGCCGCTGCGTCTGTGTTGATATTGATATGAGTTTGATGGAGCTTAGTGTGAGTGGGAGGAATTTATCGTTACACGACAATAGCTATGATTTTTTTTAAAGTTGGCCTTCAAAGGAGCATGGCCTTTCATGGTCCACCCGCCTTGATTACAAACCGGCGATCTTGCTCAGTTTATTGCCGGATTTACTTAATACAGGTCCTTCGTCGTGAATTTACGATCCAATGGCGAAGTTGTTTATTAGATAAGTCTCTGTCTCAGATTTAATCAGTCTCTCCTTTTTGAGACTGACTAAACTGAGCATGGTAATAATACACTGTTGTCACTTTGTTGTTCACTGTTCACTTTTTCAAAACCATTGTTTCGTTTTCAAACTGAAAATTTAGCTGAAGTAGTGCTGGGTGAAATAACGTTGTGGTCGGGTCGGAGTATAATGCTATTTGCTCCACGGATTCAAATGAAAATATTTAAATAGCGTTGTTGTCGATTGTCAAAAGCAGTCTGGCGTGTCTATTGCTGTTTTTTTTAAGTTTACCCCAAAATAATTTAATCTTATTGCTTTTATACCAAAGAAATCGTTTAGAATATATTAATGTATTTGTTTTATAATAAGTTTGTCAAAACCATACTGGACCTACCTAAAATTTCGTGTTCAACATGTTTTTTTATCTACGTAGATGTTAAGTACCTACTGACAAATATTTCTTGTGCAACACGCTTCATTTCCATTTCAAATAAGTGTAATTAAATAATATTTTGGGCTTTAATATTGTAAACTAACCTGTGATCCTGAAACGCAAACGATCTAGTTCAACTATTCACTCGCACTTGTTCCCTACACACAATACTCACAGTATCAGATCGCGGGACGACACTTTTTTGATGTTTGCGGTTTTTACACATACGAACCACTGGATTCCATACATTTGACAATTTAAACCCATCCTCACGATTTAAATTCTTGTGTTTGGTTATTTCAATCACTTCCCTGACCAATCTTAGTATGTAGTGGCGTTCTGTCGAAATAATTTGTGGATTATGGAGCTCAATCCAGTGATTAGGACCCGAATCAATTAAATGTTCCGCGATGGCTGATTTTTGCGTATCATTATTTCTGACTGCTTTTATGTGTTCTTTCATTCGGCACGCTATTGTCCGCTTCGTTTGGCCAATATACGGACTACCACAGCTGCAGTCAATCTTGTATACACCAGGTTTATCCAAGGGGAAGTTGTCTTTGGGAGACCGTAGAATCTGTGACACTTTTTTGTAAAGGAGTGAAGACAGTATTCAGTGAGTACTTATTAGGTATGTTCGAGATCTTGTCTGTCACTCCTTTGATGTATGGCAAAAGTAGTGGTTGCCTGTCTACTTTGTGTTTCTGGTGTTTTAGTTTGTGTTTGGGTGGAAACTTTCCCGTGTATCCATTATTCTGTAAGACCCGCCGTACATGCTCCAACTCTTCGTGCAGGTGTTCCTTGTCACACAAGTCATATGCACGGTTCGTTAGTGAAGTGACTACAGAATTTAGATGTTTAGGGTGGTGATGCGAGGCGGCGTTGAGATAACGGTCTATATGTGTGGGTTTGCGGTGAATGGAATGACTCAGCGAACCGTCATTCTGCACCCGAATCTTCACATCAAGAAAGGCCAGACTTCGGTCTTCTTCCATCTCATATGTGAACCGCATTTTGGTATGGACTCCATTTAAATTTGCCAAATGAGCCTGGACATCTTCTTTGTTTCCTTTTAAAATACAAAATACGTCATCAACATACCTCTTCCATAGTGCAATTTCTGTGGGGGCGGTGGCGAAAGCTTTTTCCTCAAAATACTCCATCCATATATTGGCAACTACTGGAGCTACCGGACTGCCCATTGCCACCCCATCTATTTGGAGGTAGTACTGACCCTGGTATATAAAGAAGTTCATCGACAAACAATGATGTAACAACTTGGCATATTCTGTCGGGATGTCATTGTCTTGCAACTTCACCTTTACTACTTCCAGATTGTCCAACACAGGTACGTTTGTAAAAAGTGATTCCACGTCGAAACTAACCATCAAGTGATTGTCTTCCACCTTGTTTTGGTGTAAGATTTCTACGAAGTGGCGGGAATCCTTTACAAACGACGATGTTCGTCCCACTAATGGCTGCAATATTTTTGCTACGTGTTTGGCGAGTTCATACGTAGGTGAGTCTATCTGACTCACAATCGGACGTTGCGGCACTTTCAACTTATGTATCCTAGGCAGACCATATATTTTTGGAGGTTGGACGTTTCTAGGACGTAGCAAATATTTGACGGTATCGTCGTCTAGAGCGTAGGCACATTCTTTTATAAGTGAGCGAGTGCTTCGATCAGTCCTCGCCGTTGGGTTGTAATTAACCTTAATATACGTGTTTGCATCAGTGAGTAGACTATGAATCTTACTTTCATACTCAGTGATGTCCATTATGACAGTCGCATTCCCTTTATCACCTACGAGGAGGTGATAGGGTTGGTTGAAGAAGGGATCATGCGTAACAAGATACCAGCAATTGATGCGGATACGCTTAGACAAGATGTTGCTGTGGTGTTACGTCATGTGAAACCACCAAGACCGAACATTACTTCCTCCGAATCAGCTGCGTTACAAGATCTTCGAAAGAACAAGAATATAATAATACTTAAAGCTGATAAAGGGAATGCGACTGTCATAATGGACATCACTGAGTATGAAAGTAAGATTCATAGTCTACTCACTGATGCAAACACGTATATTAAGGTTAATTACAACCCGCAATTACTTCAGTTACTCCGTGATCATGGCGCTTGCAACAGTGCCGAAATATCGGAGACTCATACAAAACAAGGTACATGGTAACAATCCCGTTAATAGCTATAATGTTAGTGACCATGAAAGTTTAAAACAATAGATCTAGTTCAATTTTGATGTGCTATAATTAGCACGCAAACTCAAGGGCGGATCTACCTAAAGGCTTTTTGGGCTGCAGCCCAGGGCCCCGCGAATACAGAGGGCCCCCAACCGAACTGAAACCAATAGACGATATTTTCAATAATAAAAATTATCTGGAATTAAAAAAAAACCCGATCATAAGGTTGGCAACACTGCGATCAATCAACCCGCGTGCGCATCTATCAAACGGAACGGGGAATTCCCTGTCGCTTGTTTTCGGACGGAGTATTCCGTGTACTGTCTATTATTGGGGACTTCCCTCCGCTTATCGCTCGACGCAATTTTGTTATTTTTCCGCACTTCTGCTATCGTCGACTATATTAAAGAATTAGTTTTGTTATTGTTAGAAATGTGTTAAGTTTAGTTTACTAAGTGATAGATAACTTAAAGGTTATAAGGACCGGACCTTTCTTTTAATTTACTAAAATTTAAAGTATTCAGTATAACTAGACTTCGTGCTTTTAAAAGGCAGTAGGTAAGTAAAAAGAATTATAAAACATGACTTTTTATTTTTATTTCAGTTTTCAAAACTAAATAAATCGAACTCGTTCGATATTTAATGATAATTTGTGAATTGTTACACTCATTACAAAGTAGGTATTAAAATTAAAAGTTCTATCCAGTTCTTTGTTTATTTTCAGGAAAATATCTAATTTTACAATATGTCTTCTAGAAAATATAAAAGTGGAGCTGAAAAAAGAAAATTTGGTCGAGAAAAAGAAAGAAATAAATGCGCAATTTTTTTTTTCTAAGTCAGAAGATATAAACGCGAATGAAATAGCTATAAATCCATTAAAAAACGTAAAGGAAGGTGCATCTAACCGAAGGAAGCAATAAATCGCAAAACCAGGAAAAAATACAAGTGGTGAAAATATGCAAGATTTAAAAAACCAGAAAAAAACAACGATGAAAATGTGCAATATCTAGATCCAGCAACCCTCTGGTTCCTCTGTAAACGAAATTGGTGTTCAGCAAAAGGAAGGTAATACCGATACCGAGGTGGAAAGAAATTTAGAAAATATTAAGTTTGAGAAATATGTTGACGTGGGCTTGTGGCCAGATTTGCTAAATAGTGATTTTATTAATTTCGTTGTCTCACATGAAATGACTGACTTTCAAAATAAAGATCCGAAGAATATATACCTATTCAGCTTCAATGAAGAAATATAAAGAACAAAACAGATCTTTTTCAAATAGGTATTTCACTAGAAAAATGAAAAATGGCCAATTACTGGAAAGATCTTGGTTATGTTATTCAAAAAGGGTTGGTACTGTGTTTTGTGTGACTTACAAACTTTTTTCTAAAACCCCTTATCAATACACAACCGGATTTTCTGATTGGAAACACATAGGATTTTAAAGAAAATATAACTAGAAAAAAATCCACGCGGACCAGGTAGCAGACGGGACTTGAACCCGCACCCTTCGCAATCCGGGCAAATGCACTGACCAATTATGCTACCGCGGTCCTCATGGACCGCGTCGAAATTCTTCTAGCTATTCTTAAGCTGCAAGGCAGCGCCATCTCTTCGCATTATAGGTAACCCACAATGTCAAATGAATACTTTTACAAGTAGGTATTAAACATTTGAAAGAAGAAATAGCAATGATAGTTATAATTTTTATTATTTTAAAGCATGTAACTGCTTGATGTTTAAATGTAAAGAAAATATAACTAGAAAAAAATCCACGCGGACCAGGCAGCAGAGGAGACTCGAACCCGCGCCCTTCGCAATCCGGGCGAATGCACTCTTATGTTGAAATCTTACTTACTGCAGTCTAAGACAGAGTCTTACACCTCTTGCAGTGAAATTTTTTGGCTAATTTATGAAAGGAAACTTGTTGATGTTTTCCCAAACTGCTATACCATTTTAAAGATTTTTTTAACGATGCCGATCACTAGCTGTGATGCGGAGCGTTCTTTGCTCCAGGATGTCGTATATAGAAAACAAATACAGGACAACAATGTCGAACTATCGACTAAATCATTTATCAGTTCTTTCGATAAATTGCGATTTAACAAAGGACCTACAGTGCGATGACCAAATAAAAGAATTTGCAGCATAAAAATGCAGAAAGGTTGCTTTATCTTTATATATATAATTCTTCTGTGAGTGTGTATGTCACTGAACTTCTCTTAAACGACTGGACCGATTTTGATGAAATTTTTTGTGTGTGTTCAAGGGGATCTGAGAATGGTTTAGATTCACAATTTTGTCCGCTGGACAACCCCTATTTTTTTAGGGCGGTACGAAGTTCGCTGGGTCAGCTAGTAAGTTATATAACATAACCATTTATAACCTGTCAATTTATTTTGCAATAAATTATGTTTTATTAAATAAATAAAACATTTTGTTTTCTTATTTTCTTCCTGTACTTAACATATATTATATATTACATATACCTACATCACTACAGAAAACAGTTTCTTGTCAAAATGGCAATTAGTTGAGTAATTAGGTAGGGCCCATAATCAGTATTAGCCCAGGGCCCCACAAATTCAAGATCCGCCCCTGCGCAAACTAGTAAACTAGAAAGTAATCTGTTTATGAATGTATCTCGTCATAATATTGAAGAAAGTTTTGAGATAGAGAACGTCAACGTAGAACATCTCGGAACTTTCCCACTAAAATATTGATACATTAGGTCGATTTTGTTCTGGTAACAGTGCCTACTGTTTATCTATTCAAATGAATCGACTTCAGATAAGGTCATACTTAAGCTCAACTCACAAAACATATTTACATTAAAAATTCTATCTATAAAATTAAAGCATCAAACAAACCTACACCAGTTTGTGTTTTTCAATTAACCTTATGGAATTTAAATATACACATTTTGCACAGTTAGTATATATTTCGAATAGGTAAGTGATAAATGTTTTTAACGTTCATGGTCACTAACATGGGGATTGTTACCATGTAGCTTGTTTTTTATAAGTCCCCGATATTTCGGCGCTGTTGCCATGATCACGGTGCTCTGTGGGTACATGGTAACAGTCCCGTTAATAATAAATCACTTTAAAATAACTAATCATTGTTTCTGAAAACATGTTTTCCGTTGGAAAATGTTTGCACGACCATACAGGCAATTAATTAAATGAGTTTGGTTGGGTAAAATATACCTACCTATATATTTTACCAAACCAAACTCATTCAAATTCTAAAATGAATGAATTAAAATGCAAATACCCAAAGGCTTCAATGTAAGTAAATATCCAAAATACTTACGGATTTTTATTACTAATAAATTTTATGTTTTGTGTTATTTGAAATTAAAAAGGAATTTTGCAGGTAGGTATACATACAATATGAGGCCAAAACTATGATTGAATATTGAATCTAATCCCTCTTATTAATAAACGAGGAATAAGATTAGACTAAAGAAAATATAACTAGAAAAAATTTCACGCGGACCAGACAGCAGACGGGACGGGACGTCTGCTGCCTAATCCCGTCCCGTCTGCTGCCTGGTCCGCGTGGATTTTTTTCTAGTTACATTTTCTTTAAATTTTAACATCAAGCAGTTACATGCTTAAAAAAATATACAATATTAGACTAGTTACGCCGTGTCTTGATCATATAACTCAAGTGCCATTTGTCATTCAACGAACAGAGACAAAAAATAGAGTAACTAATCCAAGCTTAGTCTTCGTTTATTAATAAGGTTGATTGAGTACGAGACGATCTTTCTCGGTTGACATCGTTAGTCCTTTAAAATTTAATCTTATTTTGATTTTATGTGAAACTTAAATATACTTCCAGACACAGCTATCGGCCCACTTAATGCAATAAGTTTCAATGGTCTGTAGCAAAAATAAAGATAGCTATAATAATATATTTTTAAAAACAAACGAAAAAGATGGTTAGTAAATTAGCTTCAAAACTGCATTAAAACTTTTGGAGCAATGAATGATTTTCGCCCGCTGTTGAGCCAGCTCAAAAACAAAGAGACTAGACTGAGTTAAGTCGCGCGAGTGTATGATAGAGATAAAAAATGACAAAATTTTATGTAATATATTAATAATAATTCAATTTATTTGCTAAAATACAGAAAATTTGCTAGAAAATATATCTGGAATATTAAACTTACAAAAGTATGGCGTTTTTCACATATAAGTAGAATTATTAACATATTATTTCGATACGAATTTAAATATAAAATATAACTAGAAAAAAAACTTTTCTCTAGTGATATTTTCTTTAGATTTAAACATCAAGCAGTTACATGCTTAAAAAATAAAAATTATAACTTTGATTGCTATTTATTCTTTCAAATGTTTAATACTTGTATACCTACAATGCGAAGAGATGGCGCTGCCTTGCAGCTTAAGATTTCTCAGTGGATTGGTCAGTGCATTCGCCCGGATAGCGAAGGGTGCGGGTTCGAGTCCCGTCTGCTGCCTGGTCCGCGTGGATTTTTTTCTAGTTGTATTTTCTTTATATTATTTCTATTTAACCACTTTAAAACACAAAATAGATATTATTATGTAAAAATTCAATTGTCAGACTTGTTTGACAAAACAACGACTCGCCAGTATAAAGGACAATGTTAAAATTGGCCTAAGAACCAACACCAATTTGGCATTTATGATAATTCTTAGTATATTTTTTGCGATAATTATCAGTATTTAGATTGTGACGGACACTTCCAGTTAAGTAAGCTAAATTAAAAAGTTAAAAAATAATCTGAGACAATAAATACCATTTTATGTGTATAATCTATGGTAGCGCTGCAAGCAAAACACTCTTTGTTCCTAATGCCGGCACTTCACTTGGCTATTAAAACATGACATCAGTCTGTCCTTTTCATTCCTTATTAAGCATAACAAGGACAAACTGTTGTCAAGTGAATGGCCGGCAAAAACTCGTTACTCTGTGGTTGTGGTGCATGCAGTTTGCATTCGTAATAATCTGTCGCATTCGTGCATTCCAAAGAGTAGTATAATATACCGGAAAGTGCATTCTCGTTTCGGATTACCTGTTGTGTGTGTTTATATGCGATTGTTTTTCCTTTAATTTAACTATTTCGGCTATCTAGTATGCCATCGATGTTACCAAAGAGCAGAGCCCTTATTACCAAGTGCTAGTGAACCTGTGCCACAACATCCTGAGAGGATCATACTACCAAATTATTCAAGAACACCTGATACACATTCACGCTGCATATTTACACAATATACATGTGATATACAAATAAATACAATAAACAATATGATACAATTATGTGAAAAATAGTCAATAAATAAAAAGCATAACTACAGATTTTATTTTATTCATGATTCCTACCAAGTTTTTCCTAATAGTTATTCTTTAAAATCGCACCGAATAAAATGAATTAGTTGTAATATTAATTCACTTCATACTGAGTTCATACTAAATTCATAGGTTGACCTATGTTTTATTGAATATTAAACATAACCTCGAAAAAATTTTAGTTTTCATAATAATTTAAGTTCTCAGAAGTGTCTGTCAAAAATCTTTGTTTTTACAGTCATTTACTTACGATTGTGTATCTAGAAAATAATATTTCATGATTGTTGGTTCTTAGGCTAACTATGTATGGACGCTGAACAATGTCCTTTCAGGTCCATCAAATATCTTAAGTTTCATCTATGCCCAATATAGCGCTGTCATTTTTTATGTGTGTGTGTCGTAATAACCATTTTGATTTTTGCGAAAGTATATTGGACTCCATTTGTGTGCATATTCCTCCCCTCGCAAAAAGACGCAGAATGATTTCAGTACTATTAAGTCATTATGGCTACTCCCCTCCTAGCTGCGTCGGCTGTGTTGCTCTATGATCTTTAGCTAAGGACCGTAAAAACTGAAAGTACTAGCTGGGTGAGCCGATAGATGTATCCGAAAGTATATTAATTAAATAAGTTAATATTCTCCTCCCGTATAGTAGATTTATTTATTTATTTATTTATTAAAGGTCTGCCAACATTTTTACACCTTAACTTACATAATCACACTTATATGTAACAATTTTCAGCATAGTGCAAAAACAATTACTGGCAAACTCAACATGAACAAAAAAAAACGGAAATACATATATATATAAAGTATTATACTGGCATTATAACTAAAGGATATTTAATATAATTCTTACATTCGTCTATTCGCCTGTAACAACCAACTCACCACACCAATATCATAAATAACCATTGCACATTCAAGAAACTTAAACTATACTAAAAATTAAAACAAAAATGCATTAAAACACTAAGTTAAATGGAATATATATTAAATTAAATTTGAATTTGGCTTATAGTTGGAGTTCTTATCAGATACAGTAATTTTCGAAAACGTAACAAAGAAAGAGCATACAAGTCAATCGATCTACAAAACCTATTATGTTCGTCACACAGTCTATTGAGCACACTATGTGCGCCTAACTTAGTTCTAAAAAATTTCAATGAAAAGGGTTTAAAATTTACCATTCTGGTGTTTGGTCGAGGTATTTTAAATTTCACATTACTTAGTAATTTAGATTGATAGACAAAATTGCATCTAGCTACGTTGAATCATAGTAGGAACGAAGTAAAGTATGAAAATGATCCTTAAAAACTACTTAACAACTCTACCTACTTAGATTGGCAATTATATATATATTTTTTTGACATATAGTATTTTTAGGATCATTTTGATATGTTCTATAAAAATAAATAGAATTATTAATAATTATTAATTCGTAGTAAAATCACATAATTATTCTTACTTATTATTAACTGAATACTGTTGATTAAATTAGTGAAAATTTATGAATAGATTTGTTATTGAGAAACATTCGATGTGCCATTTTAAGTATCCCTTAATGTTTGACTTTTCGATAGACATTTTATAATGTGTTAGTTAGTATAAATATTTACTTATATATCTGTAAATTGAGTCATCTTACCTACATTGTTTTATTTTAGTAGGTACTAACTCGGTGAATCTTGATATAATAGCTTTACTTATCGACGACCAAAGATAGAGTGAAAACGTAGAATATAGATCCTAAGTCTAGAATTTAAATTAACTTTAAATAGGTACTTATAAATTGTACTATTATTCAAATTCCTAATGCAATATTAGTACATATTGTAAATAAGTAGATAATTATCGGTAATAATAGACGGATCTTAAGACTGATGATGTTTAATTTAGAGTATGATTGCTGTTGTAGCTTTAAGATTACATTCTATCTTAAGATGTGTTTATTATACCTTAAAGGTGCATTTAGACAAGTTGTATTAAGGTAGGTATCTATTAAAGCGTTAACTTAATATTTTGCTTAAAATAAAGATAAAACTCATAATCAAAAAGGTATGTTAGAACCGAGTGCCCTTTCGTGTGTTTACAGTAGGAACAGCTTTGGCGGTGCAAATCGTAAATGCCCCAGGGCGCCACATTTTAAAATACGCCCCCCAAAGGTTCACTGCTGTCCACCACATTTAACATAACCGAATCAGTTCGCGGAACCACTTTTATACTTAAATCGGGCCTAAGTGTTACTTCTATCTCAAAATATAACACGGAAAACTACATTTGCTCTATACGTATTTCTAAATCACTTGTATGAATGCACCATAAGAGAAATTTTGTTCTTTGTGAATTAGAAATTTGCTATGTATATTATTTTTATATCTTTCTTAATAAATAAGAAAGGTGACCTGCAAAACATATCGCATTGTAATTATTGTATTTATTGGTAAGCTCAACCCTTTTTATTATCTTCATTTGACAAGATTTATGTATTTAATTACTTATAAGATTTAACGTTTATACTTAGAAAAATAGTATTTCCATAGCGTTTGTATACTACTTTTAAGACGTTATTGACGGAAGTTTCTTAGTGGTTAGTTTCAGATAAAATATATGAGCACTTGCTAGCTTACCAAATCATTAATAAAACTACTAACTGAAACTGGAAACTACCCAGTATTATGATTCCCGAGTCCACACATACGAATAACAATAACAGTACCTACTTCATATTTTTTGTATCTGTTACAGATTGCTGCTTCCTTGCTTAATACTTTTTATTTCAAGTAGGTACAAAAAGAATGTCAATTCTGCATGTGTATGGATCAAATGATTCTTCATAACTACGTAGTTATGCTAAAAAATATAGAATTATTTAACCGCCAAACTCAAATATCACTTAAGTATGTATGTTTTTTCTGCATAACTATGCAGAAAAAAATACTTCTTTGTGAAGAAGACTTGACTTTGTTGTTATAATTTACCATACATACGTTCCTACTGCCCGGATACTTAGAAATACAACCAAGCTTTTTGTGTAAGCTACGATCTGTGATTTAACACGACCTAACTTTTGTAAAGTAGGTACCTAGCAAGTGCTTATACAATACAGTTGCTGCTCCAGGCCACAGAGTGCCCTTGTAAAGGACACCACATTCATGGGGATTTCGAATCATTTATACTGATATAGCGGGCGTGCGCTGTACAATCTTCACTATAAGCGAGTACCTTCTTAAGCTGAGCGCATTGCACATTCTTTTCTTCACCAAATGCAAGTACCTAGTTACATATGTACTGTTCTTCCTGATTTGGTTTTCTGATCAGGGGCTATTCTGTAAAATGTTTGACAGATGATACGTACGTGATTATTTTACAGAATAGCCCCGCAGGAATTCAGATCCGGAGTTCCGAGGACCTACCGTAGGCGTTTCAATTTTTTAAGATAGTTCGCGAACACAAATTTTTTTTCAATCTACAAAAAATAGAATAGTGACGTGTCTAAAGTTGAGCTCATATGTACGGTTTCCTGATTAGGAATTCCGATTCAGAGATCTGAATGCACGTTCTTACATACAAAATGTTCTACGAGGCTCACCGTATTCTATTTTTTCATAATAGAAAAAGTCTTATGATTAGTTCTAAAACTACCTTATAAAAAAACCAAAACGTCAGGACCAGGCTTAAGGAATCCCGAATCGGAATTCCTGATCATGAGTACATACGGTCAGCCAGGGAGGCGGGCAATGTTTTTTCCATACAAAGGTTCTTGACTGATTCCTCCTCAATATTTATCACTAACGTATTGATTTTCATACATAAAATATAATTAATCTCATTCTGTGCTCCTATAACTTCCTTTTTTCGATAACTTGTGTTTCAAAGAAACTAGAAGCTCTTAAAAATACCAAATATAAACCAATTTTTATCACCACTAAAGACATCTAGTGTGGAAATTTAATAAGCATTTACAAAAAATAAAAACAGGAGCATAGTATCACTACTGGTTGGTAAAATTTCTTTAACACAGGTTTAATTTTCGAGAAGGAATTCGTTGAGAACTAAACCTCGAATTGTGCAATTATAATATGCAATTTTCAGCGTTAACTACTGTTGTCCCAATCACACGGTATTTGCCAATACGTGACAGCAATACTTTTATCAACTACCTATTTCTCAAATGTCGCTCAGCTCGCGTCCGCTCTTAATCAAGTTAGTTAGTACATAGTACGTACGCCCCTGTTGCTCATGAGTTAACAAATGTAAACAATATCCTTATATTTTTTAAGATTTTCTTACATATTAATAAATTACGAATTATTAATTAAATTATTTCGTGCATGTATTTATTAATCACAAGCAGTATTTATTTTATTGCCTAAAGTAAATACTATTAAACATTAAATGTTAGCGCTTACAACCGTCATTTTGTAACCAATTCCAAAACGCGAAGTAATTAAACCTCTCGTAATAAATGTTTGTAGTTTTTTTACACGACTACCCAAAAACGAGTAGGTATAATTTTAAAGGACATTGTTCTGCGTCCATACGTAGTTAGCCTAAGAACCAACAATCATGAAATATTATTTCCTAGGTTCGAAATCGCAAGTAAATGAATGTAAATACAAAGATTATTGACGGACACTTCTGAGAACTTAAATTATTAGGATAACTAAAATTTTTTTGAGGTTATATTTAATATACAATGAAACACAGGTCAACCTATGATCTTAGTATGAAGTGAATTAATATTACAACTAATTCATTTTATTCGGTGCTATTTTAAAGAATAACTATTAGGAAAAACTTGGTTAGGTAGGAATCATGAATAAAATAAAAACTGTAGTTTTGCTTCATATTATTTATTGACTATTTTTCACATAATTGTATCATATTGTGTATATATTGTATGTATTTGTTTAACACATGTATATTGTGTAAATATGCAGCGTGAATGTGTATCAGGTGCTCTTGAATAATTTGGCAGTATGATCCTCTCAGGATGTTGCGGCACAGGTTCACTAGCACTTGGTAATAAGGTCTCTACTCTTTGGTAACATCGATGGCATATTAGATAGCCGAAATAGTAATAGTTAAATTAAAGGAAAAACAATCGCAAATAAACACACACAACAGGTAATCCCAAACGACAATTTTCCGTATATAAAAAGTACCTACTCTTTGACGAGAATGCACGAATGCCACAGATTACTACGAATGCAAACTGCCTGCACCACAACCACAGAGTATCGAGTTTATGCCGGCCCTTCACTTGACAACAGTTTGTCCTTGTCATGTTTAATAAGGAATGAAAAGGACAGACTGATGTCATGTTTTTAAATAGCAAATACGAATAGCCAAGTGAAGTGCCGGCATTAGGAAGAAAGTGTTTTGTTTGCAGCGCTGTCATAGATTATACCCATAAAATGGTATTTACTGTCTCAGATTATTTATTAACTTTTAAATTTAGCTTACTTAACTGGAAGTGTCCGTCACAATCTAAATACTGATAATTATCGCAAAAATAAAATACTAAGAATTATCATAAATGCCATGTTTCTTTGTATCTACGTTTCTTTATTTTATCAAAACTTCGTAACAGTGGTTATGATTTGAATAAATGCAATAGGATCTTTACCATCTATTTTACTGGAAAAGAACTATGTACATTGCTTATATCCGAAATTACTCATCAGATCTTTACCAAATTAATATGGGACCATCTTTTAGATTAAAACAAAAAGGGAAGATACGGTACGCTCATACTAGCATCAAATAAAATATGATCCGACTACTACTCCGACTATGCTACGATCAGGGTGTAAGGGGAACTCTCCCGAAGCCGAAATTTAAGTATAATACTATAAAATTGTAAACTTATGACATTAGTAATTTTTTAAATTGGATTGTTTTTAACAAATTAGTATTTTTCAAGCACGCAATGTAAAGCATAAAATATAGTATATTCGCCGGTGAACGACAATCACCCGTGTAGTAGGTATGCTACGTACAGTGGGGGTCACGGGCGCGTGAACACTTTTTATTTATTATTGGTCGTAGTATTTTACTATAACCAATTAGCATAGCGCTGCACTGGGTGCATTTATGAATGATGCGTGCGAGAGTAAATATTATGCGCGACGTTGCTCTATGCCGCTACACAGCTACAGCCAGCGGTTTGGCAACATCTTGGGATTTCTGTGATGCGCGTACGATATCGGGACCAAATAAAGAAATAATAAAACAACAACAATAATCATACGCGTAATTTTACATTTGGTTTCGATTTTAATATTGAATTCATGAATCTGGTATAGTCATATTTTGAAAGTAAACCTATAACCTTTTGACTCTCAAAAAGAATGAGTTTAATAATTATTTCTTTTATTTTTATTATGCTCTTGTAAAAATAGGTACTAGCTTTCCGTCAGCGGCTTCGCACGCACAGAACAAAACTTTGTAGGATACATTGTAACCACTCAGAGTATAAATTAGAAAATACTACCATTTTCTAATTTTCTAGGTAGCCTAATTAATTACCAACTCCGATATTAACAACTTTAAAAAAAAAACAATTGATCGTCTTCGACATGGATACGACAATCAAAGCTATACTGGATAAAATGGATGAAATGCAACGAGAATATCAAAAATAAATCAAAACCCTTCAAAAAGCTTTGCCCAGTTATCCGTCTCTATAGACGAAAAATTGAAGCCTTTGGTGAAGGAAAATCTACATCTGAGAAATGAAGTTGCGTTTTTGAATAAAAACGTATCAAACACTGAACGCGATGTGAGAAAGAATAATCTGATTTTACATGGCCTGCAAGAAAAGGAAACAAATAATATTGAATTAGTAGAATCCCTCATCACATGTCTCAATAACATTTACAAAGATACTGGACTTGGCAACTGGGACAAATATGAAATAAGCAGAATACAAAGAGTAGGAATAAAAGACAGTAATAAAACGCGGTCTATACTGTTTACACTTACGCTCGAATGGAGAAAACTCGAACTACTTCGCAACAAAAAAAGATTTCCTAAGAACATATACATAACAGAAGACTACCCAAAAGATATTCTTAATATCAGAAAAGAACTAAAAGTCAAGCAGCAAGAAGAAATAAAAAAGGGCAAAATAGCTTTCATACGGTATGACAAGTTAATAGTGAAAGACAAAAATCCAGTCGCCAAAGAAAATGAAAAGAGGAAGAGAACACCAACAGATTCGCCCAATCAGCAAGATAACACTAAACGAGGTGAGACAAGAACAAAAATCAATAAAACAAACCCATTAGGATTTACAACGCGACCAAGCACTAATTCAACTCCAAACCTTAAACTGCAAGACGTTAGATGAGATATCTTGGGCCTTAGCGAAATAAGAAGATTGGGAGACACAATTGAAGAGCATAGTGACTACATATTTTACTACAAAGGAGAATCTAAAGGACAGTACGGGGTTGGCTTTATGTTAAAAAAAAGAACTGAGGAAGAATATTATAGAGTTTAAAGGTGTTTCCGAGAGAATAGCAATCATCATCATCATCATCAGCCTATCAATGTCCCCACTGCTGGGGACATAATAATAGCAATATTTAACATTAAATTACCTGACACCAACAACAATTGGTCCATCGTTCAGATTTATGCACCGACAGAGGCTTCAAACGAGGAACTAAAAAACGACTTCTACAGAAATTTAAGAGAAACTCTAGATGTTTGTTGCAAAAATGTGATAGTTATGGGTGACTTTAATGGCAGAATTGGCAAGCAGCGTCTAGGAGAAGAATCCATAATGGGAAAACATGGAACTGGGGGCCAATCGCCTAACTGGATTGCTTTGGAAAACGCTATCGCTTACGATTTCATTTTGTTATTTCTAACCGCCGAAATACCTCACGCTCATTTTCTTTAACATTGTTATTACCAATGCAAAAGAAAAAAAAAGAGCGCGAGGCATTTGAAAACCTCAGGGGGCTAGAAATAACAAAATGAAATCGTAAGCGATAGCGTTTTCCAAAGCAATCCAGTTAGGCGATTGGCCCCCTGGTATAAGGAGCCCCAATGGTGAAAGGATGATAACATTGGCCCTAGAACATAAACTAAAGATTATGAACAGTTGCTTCATGAAAAAACTTTCAAAGAAATGGACATGGATATCACCTGGCGGCTCTTACCGCAACGAAATCGACCATATTTTGAGTAACCGTCCTAAAGTATTCCATAATGTTAATGTTATCTCTCAGTTAAATTTCTATACCAATCATCGTATGGTCAGAGCAACAATATCAAGCACACGTGAAGTAAAATGTAGGAAGAATTTCAGACAGCAAAAACATTGTGAGCCGGCACAACCAACTTTAACAGTTTTTAGTCCATTGGACCAATAACCAGTAACACAATTCAAGAAACCTATGTGGCAACGACTGTTATTTTATACAATATTGATAATTAAAATTTATAATATTCAATAATATGTAATAATGTGCTATATATAATAATTTATAATATTTAATAATAATATGTGTTTGTGTAGTAAAATTATGTAATTAGATAAATATAATTTGTTAACGTAATTTGCTAATGAATAAAAATGAGCGGACACTGTGACGCGCAATAATTTTATATATAGCGAACAAGCTCGCCGGCTGCGCCCGGCGTGCTATTGTTCAAGCAATAACCGGTCGGCCGGCCCCGTTCCTGCGCTTTTCTTGCGCCCCGCGGCCGCCCGGCCGGCAGTCGAAAGATTACTACGACACCTAACGCTTGCGCTCTTTGCTTATATTATTCGTTATAAATTGTATGTTATTTAGTTTGTGCTTCCTATTTTTCTGTGACTATCTCTTCCGCTTTTACTCCTTCTGTGTGCTGTGCTGTATATACTGTTGTGTACGTGATTAAACGTTCTTCTGTGCCGTAATTCGTCGTATAATTGTATGTACCCCTATTCTATTTACTACACTGGTGACCCCGTCTGAACACAAAGATGAACGAAGCAGGAAATACTGAGGCAGGAAAGAGCGGCGTAACTGCCGCCGCCGAATCGTATAGGGTAGGCGTGAGAGTACCACCTTTTTACCCTGAAAAACCGTCGCTATGGTTTTCGCAGTTGGAAGCGCAATTCGTGTTATCGAATATAACGAGCGATACAACGAAATTTTACCATACAATAAGCCATTTAGAGCCACGATTTGCAAGCGAGGTTGAAGATATTATTTGTAACCCACCCTCAAATAACAAATACATCATCAACCCATGTTCGTCCACTGCTGGACATAGGTCTCCCCTAATGCACGCCACTGCTCCCGATTTTGTGCTACTCTCATCCAGCCCACTCCAGCCAGCCTACGAATATCATCATCCCATCTTGTCTCAGGGCGTCCTACACTACGTTTACCGAGTCGCGGTCTCCACTCAAGAACTTTCCGACTCCAACGTCCATCAGTTCTGCGGCTAATGTGACCAGCCCACTGCCACTTCAGTTTGCTAATTCGGTGGGCTATGTCGGTGACTTTGGTTCTCTGTCGGATTACATCATTTCTGATGCGGTCCTTCAGGGATACTCCGAGCATAGCCCTTTCCATAGCTCTCTGAGCGACTTTAAACTGGTGGACTCGTCCAGCCGTGAGTGTCCACGTCTCGGCGCCGTATGTCATAACTGGGAGGACGCACTGGTCGAAGACTTTCGACTTGAGACATTGAGGGATGGGTGACGAGAAGACTTGATCATCGCTTCCCAACCAAAAGCTGCCCTCGACGAAGTCGCTGATCTAGCTGATCGCATCCATGACGTCGTCGGTCCACAAGTAGCGTCAACGTCTGCCGTCGCCACCGCGTCACACCAGAACGAGCGGACCATGGATCCGATGTCTAGTCAGATCGCAGCATTGACGAGGCAGGTAGCAGCCCTAACAGCCAAGGTTGAGAGACTGTCACGACCCCGCGGACGATCGCCAAGCCACCACAGCCGCATCCGTTCCAGTTCAAAGCGTTCGCAATCCAACTATAGAAAATACCCCCTATGTTGGTATCATTCAAAATTCGGAGAAAGAGCAACGAGATGCATAATCCCCTGTAATTACAAAATGGCGGGAAACGAAAGGGACAATCGGTAATGGCGGCCGACGATTGTCCATCTCCGGGTCGCTTGTTCGTAACGGATCAACATTCGAAAGTGCAGTTTCTGGTTGACACAGGTAGTGATTTATGTGTTTTTCCTAGACATTTAGTGCGTGAACAGCGTCAAATAACTAATTTTGAATTGTGTGCGGCTAACGGAACCGCTATTAAAACGTATGGCTATACAAATCGTGTCCGTGATGCTAGCGTACCCACGATCAATATACGGTTTTTCGTTATGCCATTAAATAGTGCGTAAATAGTGCCAAATTAGTGTAAAAATAATAAAAATAGTGCCTCTTTAATTTAAGAAATAAATACCATTTTTACTGTGTACGCTACCATGACGTCAAGCTAGCGTACCCATGGCCGACCCCAAGAACGGCACATATTTAAGCAACGAAATTGACACACAAAAATAGTTCGCAAATAGTGCCCTGGCTTTACAAAATTTCATAATCAATACTCATAAAGGACCAAAGATATTGAACTAAACATTCTTAGCTTGCGTCAACCTGGCGTACCCATAATAGTTCTCATAGAAAATGAACTTTTCTTGTTATCAATTCTATATGTATAAATAGTGTGTCAAATAGTGCCTCTAACAGTAAAAGTATTTTATGTGAATCCGCATCACAACAATACATAAAGAGGGTGTTAAATTCTAGGAACAAATGTATTGTAGTACAGTTACACGCAAAATTAATTTATGCACTAAGAGAATCTATATATGTATTTTTACTAAAATAAATAGGTACTTTTTATAAAAAATATTATATTTCAATTCGAATTCACCAATCATAAATTCATATAAGAATTTCAACCTACCTACTACTTAAGTACCTTACTTACCTACTATACTACGAAAATATTATCACTTCTGTACATGACTGTACTTCATATATAAAAATAATTTAATTGCTTTTTTTATATTGTTTTACTGCGAATTAACATAAAATACTTTTACTGTTAGAGGCACTATTTGACACACTATTTATACATATAGAATTGATAACGAGAAAAGTTAATTTTCTATGAGAACTATTATGGGTACGCCAGGTTGACGCCAGCTAAGAATGTTTAGTTCAATATCTTTGGTCCTTTAAGAGTATTGATTATGAAATTTTGTAAAGCCAGGGCACTATTTGCGAACTATTTTTGTGTGTCAATTTCGTTGCTTAAATATGTGCTGTTCTTGGGGTCGGCGATGGGTACGCTAGCTTGACGTCATGGTAGCGTACACAGTAAAAATGGTCTTTATTTCTTAAATTAAAGAGGCACTATTTTTATTATTTTTACACTAATTTGGCACTATTTACGCACTATTTAATGGCATAACGAAAAACCGTATATTGATCGTGGGTACGCTAGCATCACGGACAAATACAAATCTTGTACTAAACCTAGGCTTGCGTCGTGACTTTACTTGGCAATTTATTGTCGCTGATGTAACTAGAGCGATAATAAGAGTAGATTTTTATCTTATTATAACTTAATTGTCGATTGCAGGAACAAACGCCTAATTGATAGCAGTACTACCCTCACCACCCCGGCTTTGTCTGCCCGTTCATCGGAGGTAATATCTTCGGTTAAGGTGATTTTTGGTGAGTCAAAATATCATAACATACATCAGGTAAACACCGCACACCTGCACACAATACAGTGCATCACATCAGAACTACACCCGGTCCGCCAATTTCTTCTAATCCACGACGGCTTGCTCCCGATAAATTGAAAATTGCCAAAGAGGAGTTTGAAGCTATGCTCCGTAGTGGTATAGCCAGACCCTCAGAATCAGCCTGGTCATCTCCTTTACATTTCGCTCCTAAAAAAGATAACGGTTGGCGACTTTGTGGGGATTATCGAAGACTTAATGCTAGGACAGTGCCTGACAAATATCCTATCCGGCACATACATGCTTTTTCACACACGCTATCCGGTTGTAAAATATTTAGTGTAATTGACCTTGTGAAAGCTTACAATCAGATACCAGTTAACCCAGACGATATTTCGAAAACCACCGTTTGGACTTTACGAATTTCCGTTCATGACGTTCGGACTTCGTAATGCCGGTCAAACCTTTCAAAGATTTGTCGACGAAATGCTCCGGGGCCTTGATTTTGTATATGCATATTTAGACGATTTTTTGGTCTTCTCTAGGGATAACACTACCCATGAAAACCACCTACGACAGCTCTTTACTAGACTGCAAAAATATGGCATGGTCATCAATGCAGCCAAGTGTATTTTTGGTGTCTCCGAAGTGACTTTTCTGGGCTACAGAATCTCAGGAGAGGGAACTACACCACTCCCAAGCAAGGTAGTAGCTATTAGTAACTACCCCGTGCCAAAAACCGTCCGTGAGCTTCGAAGGTTCCTGGGCATGATTAATTTTTACAGCGTAGCGCTATCGTTTTCGGCAGAGGTGACAACAGGCAGGCGAAACAATCGCACATTATTTGGCAGAGTTGAAGAAACTATCCAAGTATTGTGAATTTGGGATCAGCTTGGAAGATAATTTGCGCGATCAGTTGGTTTGCGGGGTACTCAGTGACGTCATCTGGCAACGCCTATTTGCGGAAGACGATTTGAAATTTAACGGTGCCATGAAATTGGCTTGCGCTCTGGAAGCAGTGGAACGGGATGCTGCGGTTGTGGATATGTCAGCTGCGGCAGGCAAGAGTGGCACGCTGGAAGAAGTCCACAAAATAAGAACGCGGAAGGAACGCGGGCTACAGCGGTCGGCGTTAAAGTCCGGAGACTGCGAAGCCTGTGGGATTGCAGGACACGATACAGAAAGATGTCGATACAAGACATTTGTGTGCAGCAAGTGCAAGAGGAGAGGTCATTTACGGCGGGTGTGTCCGATAACTCGAGCTGAGGGTAATCGCGGTGGAGGCCAACGCCGGCTCAATAATGTGCAGTCATCCAGCGTCATCGAAGGTTCGGATGAGGAACCGTTTTCCGAGGAAGTGGAAGAGGAGTTTCATCAGCTGAGTTTAAACAGTTATAAACCAGTAAGTTTATTAATTGATGTTAACGGAATTTCATTAAAGATGGAGGTAGATACAGGCTCTGCTGTTTCTTGTATAAGCAAACAAATGTATGAAAAGTATTTTAAAAACATGCATATTGTAAAGAGTAATGTGATTTTTAAATTTTATAACGGTAGTACTGTTAGACCGTTAGGTGTTATTTTTCCAAAGATAACATACAAAAGAATATCGAAATGTTTGGAATTGTTTGTAATCGATGGGGGAACCACTGCCTTATTAGGGAGGCATTGGCTATCAGAGTTAAAAATTAAAATTCCATTTTGAACAATAATTTTAACAATATGGTGTTAGGAAATAAATGTGCGTATACTGATAATTTAAACGTGTTGATCGGCAGATATGAGCGGTTGTTTAGCGGCGGGCTGGGTCGGTTCACGGGCGGCAAGGCTCAGTTGCGAGTGCGGGAAGGGGCGACGCCGGTGTTTTGCCGCGCGCGGCCGCTGCCCTACGCACTTGACAAGGAATTACGCTTAATGGTTTCTTTTTTATTATTAAAAATAATCACTTGATAAGATATTAGAAACAGCTACGTAATAAATACCTTATGGGACGTGATGTCTGCTGTCCGGACCCGTGGATGACTTGTTG